TTAACTCTGTTTCTTTCTCCGCAGATACTTTCTGACCTGCTGATTGTTTCCAGCATTTCCGCTCTCTCTTTTCCAGATTTCCATCACCTGCATTGCTTTTACATTAGGTTTGGTTGTTTGAAACAATTTCACAAAGGCTGAAACACAACAGGTGGTAGACAGAGAGGACATTCATCCTGTCAGTCAGAATTGAGTTTGCATTCAAGTCCCAAAGGTGACAGAGAATTGTGTATTAACCTCATAAACCATCAAAAATCCTGTATCCTAATTTGTAAAATATTTAGAAGTTGATCTCAGCACATAATATCAATAACTTGCATTTATATAGCACCTATAAAGTACTAAAATGTCAAAATGTGCTTCGTAGAAGAATTAAAACACAAATTTGATTTAAAATTCCTCTTGCAATTATATCAGTAGCTCCTTATTGATACTGATACTGACCAAAGAATCATGTACTCCAAAACATGGCTACCAGTCAAGAGTGACATCGCCAAGATTGGGCAAGATAGTTTGTAATCAACCTGTCCCAATACATTATTACACACCTCTCGATCAGGTGGGACTTGAACTCGGGCCTTCTGGCTGAGAGGTAGGGACACTACTGCCACACAGGACCAGAGGAACTAAGACTAAGCGATCAGGATTGATATTGGAGATTGATGTATTATTCAAAGTTTACCTAATTTTCTCCTTTTCCTCCCCTAGCCACGCCACGTCCACCCTCCCAACCAGAGAGGAGAATTCCGATGAAGTCAGGCCGATGCAAGAAATCAGTGAAATAGAAAAATACAGTAATTAAAGACAGATCAGGAAAAGTACAAGGAAGGAGCATTTCTGCAAAGAATGGAGAAATTAGTTTCTGGTCAATTCACAAGGAATATCCTGGGAGAGTGATGGAGGCTCTGTAGGAGGTTTCAAAGACAGCTGGATATGTGTTTGAGAGTGATTAATTTAGAGAGCTATGGAGATAGGACATGAAAAGGACTGGGACTAGCTGGGTAGCTCTTTTGGGAGGCAATACAGACACGATGGGTTGAATAGCCTTCTTCTGTACTGTAAAATTCCATGATTCTATGAATTCATTAGAAAGATAATTGAAGTGGGGAATAGCAATTGCATGATCTGAAACTTCAGCATGAATTTTAGTTCCAGGACACAATGTCAACACCAACCTGAGCTTTGGGTGGGAACCCAGATGTATCTGTGGCATGTCCCTCTGGGAATTTTTCAAGGAGGCAGTGACTAAGAGCTGGTCCAATTCAGGAGAGTGGCAGAGTCTATAGCTTGGAGATCCAAAGAAAGTACCTATGCATGGGTCTTTGCATTTGACAGCCCCTTTTGTGAAAGATACAAAATATACATTAGCCAAAGCCATCCTTGCATAAAGGAAGCTTGTGGCCATGACTATGATCCTTGCTAACCAGTGGATTCACATTGAACTGCTTTGACAGATGCACCACTACTCTCCCACTCCCCAGTCCTCTGATATCATCCAAAACTCCTAGATCCCCTCTAACCCAGTGTTACACCTCCAAGCGACCATTAACACCTGTAACCGCTAACAAACTTTACTAACCCTAACCTTCTGAACCACTAACACCCTAATACCCAAGCGTTACTGGGAGAAGGCAAGAGAATGGGGTTATAGAGTCATAGAGTTGTACAGCATGGAAACAGACCCTTCTGTCCAATTTGTCCACACTGACCTAGTCCATTTGTCATCATTTGGCCTATATCCCTCCAAACCGTACCTATTCACATACCCATCCAGCTGCCTTTTAAATGTTGTATTTATGCCCGCCTCCACCACTTCCTCTGGCAGCTCGTTCCATACATGCACCACTGTTTGCATGAAAAAGTTATCCCTCAGGTCCCCTCTCACCTTAAACCTATGCCCTCTAGTTTTGGTCTCCCCCACCCTAGGAAAAAGATCTTGGCTATTTACCTTATTCCTGCCCCTCATGATTTTAAAAACCTCTACAAGGCCACCCCTCACACTCCGACACTCCAAGGAAAAAAGCCCCAGTCTATTCAGCCTCTCTGTGTAACTCAAACCCTCCAGTCCCAGCAACATCCTGGTAAATCTTTTTGGTACCCTTTCAAGTTTAACAACATCATTCCTATAGAAAGGTGACCAGAATTCTACGCAGCATTCTAAACGTGGCCTCGCCAATGTCCTGCACAGCCGCAAATGATGTCCCAACTCCTATATTCAATGTTCTGACCAAGGAAGGCAAGCATGCCAAATGCCTTCTTCACCACTCTGTCTACCTACAACTCAAGGAACGATGTACCACATCCCTCTGTCTCTTTGTTCAGCAACAGTCCCTAGGGCTTTACCCTTAATTAAATAAGTCCTGCCTTATTTTGTCTCACCAAAATGCAGCACCTCACATTTATCTAAATTAAACGTCATCTGCTACTCCTCAGTCTGTTGACTCATCTGATCAAGGTCCCATTGTACTCTGAGATAATCTTCTTCATGGCCACTACACCACCTACATTTGGTGTCGTCTGCAAATTTACTAACCATGCCTCCTACATTCATATCCAAAATATTTATGTAAATGACAAAAAGCAGTGCACCCATCCTTGTGGCATACTGTTGATCACAGGCCTCCAGTCTAAAAAGCAACCCTCTACCACCACCCTTTGTCTCGAACCTTCAAACTAATTTTGTATCCAATTGGCTAGCTTCCTCTGTATCCCATGCGATCTAACCTTACTAACCAGTCTACCATGCGGAACCTTGTTGAATGCCTTGCTGAAGTCCATATAGACAATGTTTACCGTCCTGCTTCCATCAATCTTCTTTATCACCTCTTCAAAAAACTCAATTAATTTAATGAGTCGTGATTTTACACGCACAAAGCCAATGTTGACTATCCCTAATCAGTTCTTGCCTTTCCAATGCATGTAATTTCTGTCCCTCAGAATCCCCTTCAATAACTTACCTCACCACTGACATCAAGCTCACCGATCTGTAGTTCCTTGGCTTTTCCTTACAGCCTTTCTTAAATAGTGGCACCACATTAGCCAACCTCCAGTCCTCCGACAACTCACCCATGGCTGTCAATAGGTGGAGAAACATATCAGCCATGATTGACTGGCAGAGCAGACTCAATGGGCCAAATAGCTTAATTCTGCTCTTATATCTTATGATCTTATACCTGCTAACTACAAGCTGCCTTCTTGCCCCTGCTCCTCCTAACCCTGTACTAACCCCTTACCCTCAGGTAAACCCCTACCAACCTCTTTGTAACTCCAATCCCACTCTGCTAACACCAATCCCTTGCTACCCCTCTGGCTCGCCCCGCCATCTACAGCCAGACAGCTGCCACCATTCTACCTTGCTGGGAGGAGGTGGGAATCAGCTGGCAGTGACCCATTGAGAAATTGTTGACATACCCACGTCCAAACCCACTACAGCTCATTCTTAAAATTCAATACTCGGCGTACATAATGTGGTTTCACATTGGTTTGTAATTTATTATAATACAAATAGAAAATGCTGGAGAAACTCAGCAGGTCTGAGCCTGAAGGAAGGCCTGGGTACAAGAGATGTGCCATGACGTGCTTGAACAGGTTGATTAAGAATACCTTTATCTGCATTACTGCCGCTCACTGTAATGTTGTCTACAGTGTAACACGTTAAGTGCATTATATAGTTTCTGCAACATACTGCAGCCTTGTGTTACCTGTTTTTTTAATCAATAGAAACTAGTTGGAATACACTGTAGATTGGTACGAGCTCCACACTATGTTATCTCTGACTCCAGCATCGGCAGTTCTTACTATCTCTGAGTAGATATGTACAACTTGCCTTTAAGTGGTGACCTGCGTATATGAATTGAGAGAAAAACTTCGGGTTATACGAGACACCACTTTCACCACGTGCGCGCAAAGATATCCACAGAAGCTAACCTGCTGGGGCGCCGAGGGACGGCGTGGTTTTTCAAAAGCTGATAACCCCCTCTAGTTGCGATTAACTATCACGTCAAGTTTTTTCATTCCTAAGACGTGAGGCTGCCTCACCTCCATCTAAACGGCTGTCTGCTTCTGAGGAAGGGTCACCGGACCCGAAACGTTACCTCTGAGTTTTCCTTCACAGATGCTGCCAGACCTGCTGAGCTTTTCCAGCAACTTCTGTTTTTGCGTCTGCTGCTGTGTTCAGCCCCGTCTGTTTAAAATGTGTTAGCCGTCCTATCTCAGTCTTTCTGAATTGAATTAGCTTTCTTGTCACGAGAACAGTGAAAATGATCTGATCATGTATCTGACTGCTATGATGTAGACAGTTCGTGTCCAATATTGAACTACTACGTCTTATCAAAAATCTGTTCAAAATGAAAACAGGTGTTTTGCTAATGAGGAGATAGTAGGAACTGCCGATGCTGGAGAATCTGAGATAACAAGGTATAGCTGGATGAATACAGCTTTTCTGAAGGAGGGTCCAGACCCGAAACGTCAGCTTTCCTGCTCCTCTGATGCTGCTTGGCCTGCTGTGTTCATCCAGCTCTACACCTTGTTATCTATTTTGTTAATGAGATGTTCTCAATAATTGATGTGACTGAGGACAGGGACTGGTGCACTGTATCAGATTATTGATGCTAAAAGAGACAGACTGGTGAACGTGGCTTGTGGGGGTGTGGCGGGAGTGGGGAAGTGAGCAGAAATCTACAAATGCACGATGAAGGTGGATGGGAGAGGAGTCCTAAAGCAAAACTGTTAAATTTGAAGGAGACTGGCTGTCCTGGTTTTTCTGAACATATCAGGAGTAAGCATGATTTTTGAAGACCAGTTTGTTGCAAGAATGTGCTTGCGATTAGATGTGTGGATTTGTCTGCAAGGTTGAAAATGTAGTTTTTTTTAAAAAAAATGCTTCAGAGTCACCGGCTTCAGCAAAGAGCCTCGCATATGAAGTGTTCCCGTCCACCTTGTCAGCGTTCCTTTCAGAGATGCAGCCCTGGGCCAAACGGAAGCACACGCCCTCAGCCCCTCGGACGAGTGAGTATATGTCCTGCTGAAGGAGTGCAGATAAGGCCTGGAGGCTGGGTGACGAGATGTCACTTGTCGTCCGGGCTCTGTCGCTGGCTGCCTGAAGTTACGCTAGAATGGACAGTGCACTTTACTGTGTCCGGGCAGAACTGAGACTGGCCTGTCAGTGCTGCAGGGGACTCCATGCAGAAACACGGAACTCGGAGCAGGCTCACAAGTAAGCGGGCGATTTGTAACTTGCACTGAAATATTCCCGTTTAAACCTATTAGAGTGAAGCGAAGTATTTGAATGCCGGTGTCATTATGTAACATTTACCAGTATAAATAAACTGTTCAGTTCCTAAAAACTAAAACGAATTAAAGGTTATCTTAGAAGCCTTTAATTTCAAATCACGTATGGATCGTGTATTGCAATTTTAAGTCATCTGGGAATCTGCTTTTACAGAATTGTCCCTGTTCAATGTTACCATATAAAAGTTGCCTGAAATTGAGTTTTGTTCCTTTCCTGGGTTGGGCTTTTTTTTTATCAGCACCGCCTCGTTAACATTACCGGCTTGTTTCGCTTTGCTTCTTTGTGTACAGTTCCTCGGCGTGGTGGAGACCCTGGATGATGACAGCAAGAGATGCGGAAAAGCAGAGGCAGACCTTGGTAAGAAAGGGGTTCTCTTGTCCGCACGTGTTCACCGTGAGTCACCTCCAATCGCTGTGAAACTGCACCTTAAACCGATCTGGGATTTCGGATGAAATTAGATTTCACAGGAGGTTCCCAGAGCTCATACAGAAATAATGTCTAGAGCAAAATCAATCAAAAACAAGGAGCTGCTTCAAAACACACCACGTCTATCAATATCTGAAAAAAGATCGTTTCATCATCACTGCAAAATATATCTTTACACTTTCAAATACCCATTAATCCATTGTGCATATCCAACATGTTTAAACACGTTTTATATTTTATTGCGTTATATACACCCACCACTTTCCGTTTGCCTATGGGCTACTTACAATAGACTATTTCCTGTCTGCATTTCTATTTTATGTATAAGCAACACTTTCTGTTTATGCACCGGCCTTTCAGTGTTTTTGGTTAGTATTTCCACAATCTAAATCCTGTATTTTCTGTATTTCCAGTATGCAAATCAACTATTAATCGTTTGTATTTCTAAACATATCTAAAATTTTCTGTTTAAATGCATGTTTCAAAGTGATTGAATGTTTTGAGAAGGTTGTTCAGTTGTAGCTAGATCGTCGAATAACCTCAGATTAAATGTCTCACGAAAAGGGTACTAGATAATGTTGATATTTCGCCGCAGATCTGAGATTAGATAAATAGTTAGTTGCATCCACATATGCAGAGGGTAATAGCATTGGGAGGTACAATCAATAGTACAGAACAGGGATTAATTGATTGTTTTGCAACTTTGCCTTTTGTCACCTGTATTCATAAAGGTACTACTGTACTAGATTCACAAGTTCGGGATAACACAAATACATGGGAGCGGGGGCATGTTAGGATCGAGACATAGTGAGGGAATTGACCTGCTTCTGGTAGATGTCTTTTCATACCGACAGGTATGGCATGATGTAACCGAGCAAAGGACATTCCAAGCAGGTATGGACCATGCAGGATAACATACTGAAGGTGGCTGAGCAACAGAAGAATTATCGCATATTCATGATCACTGTTGGAAAACTGTTGCCAAAGTTGCAAGTGGAACGTTAGGATGTATTGCTAGGACCATTAGACTCAAAGTAGAAGTAGTAGCCTTCCTCCCCTAAGCCATCGATCTAGCTCCATCTTACAAACTCAGAAAAGACTGGTCAAGACCTCAAACTTTAGAAGGAAAATGGATTGACGAAGATTAGAGAACTAAGTTTTTGTGGTCTTCAGGAATTTTTCTGATTGCCTTCTCAGGCTAGAGAGGAATTTCACAACATTTTCTTCCCCTGAATTAGCCACGGATGTTTCTTTCTTGTCTTTTTGCATTTCCCAGGAAAATGCCAGTTTTTTTTTTAGGGAATGTGGTATATGGAGTATGGTGTGTGTAGATGGCACCATGTCCAAACGGGACAGCTTTGTGGGCTGTTTTACTCATATCCCATTGCATATATTCAAACCGTAGACAGCCAATAATTACATCTGTATTTCTGTAGTGTATTTCCAGGATTTAGTTATTCTAACTTACTTGTCAATCAAAATAAACGCCTTTTATTCGTACAGCAAACAATTCGTACAGCACCTCCCTGTATAGATTCTTAGGCTAAGAGTGCTTGGATCTATACATGAATAGGTTAAGAATAACTCAATCATTTATAACTGACGCTGCATGTGTTTGAGCCTCCCCCAGTCCCTAACACGCCCCGCATTCACAGTCAATGGAGAAAACAAGCTTTCGCCTAGTTTGAGGGGAATATTTCCTTCAATATGTACGATTTAATTGTCAAATGTCAATGATTTTAGTTCTCAGATTCCGATTCAATTTAAGTTTTGAGCAGACATCTGTAACTAAAAACGTCGGCACAAAATTTGACTATAATCTGTGTAGTCAGGAATGCTGTGTGCAAAAGTAAGATATTTTAAACATACAGACGGATTTGTTTTATTTCAAAGACCAGCTCAATGAAACAACTTACATTGCACCACTAACCGACCAAAAAGATTCAGGATTTTTCATTAAAAATAGATGAACAGACCGAGACCATTAATAAGGATGAACGGGGGAATATGCCTGTGATTTGGGCTGAGGTGCAAAATGAGAATTATTTTGAAGGTAAAAGCAGATTGGTCAAATGAGTTAAGGTGGTTTATTAATTGTTTGGAAGGAAGGTGCTACAGTATGGAGTGCTGTACACAGCATTATAATAGTGATGCACAATGAGCTAGAATTAATTATACAAGACCGGCGGGAAGGAGGCACAGGTCAGAGAGACAGAAAGAGAGCACGGGCCAATTTGAAGCAATTGCTATCCGCTATCTAGTTATGCCACGTTAGCACAATCACTGTCTGAAGCCGCAGAGCAGGAAACTCGGTTTTTGGAACCACTATACATTATACCGCACATCAATTAGGCACGCATTTCAGTCACTTACAGATTTACCCACGGGCTGGGCCTGGGGATTTTGCGGAGTGGGGGCCTATGATAACGTGCATTCAGATGCAAGTTCGCGAATACTGATGATTTCCAAAGCTCATAATACATACGTAGTTAAATATTCTTTTTTTAAACACTATACAGCATGGTTGTGACAGTCCCTCTGAAACCAGGCAACCCTTGGGATTTCAACACCCAGTCAGGTGCGTAAGGACTAGACCATTCTTGCTTCTACTGTCAAGTTCTGCCTGTAATCTTCATTAATAAATAAATAAAGTTCGAACCCCCAAATCTGAATTTTATCAGTCCGATGTAAAAAATGAAGCATGTTAAACCTGGGGTAGTAAATCAGTTCGATGGCCTTTTTTTCTTAAAAAAACACGGTATTATTAAAACAATTGTCAAGGTCGCTGTAACTGAATGCCCTGGGCCGTATTGTTAGCATTCATGTTTTTCTTTCCAGGCTGTACCTACCCAGATCCAAAGCTGAACATTACCTACACCACATGGGAGAAAAGGTTCTAGCCAGCTTCCCTGTTCAGGCAACAATTCATTTCTACAATGACGATTCAGATACAGAGGAGGAGGAGGAGGAGGACAAACTCATGTCCTGTGGCTTAGAATCAGAAAGTACCCCGGAAACAGCGGGGATGTTTTGCAAACAGTGAAATGAATCGGAGCAGGAGATGGATTGGCTTCGAAGCGGAAAAATCTTGCCTTCCGAAAGTGATATCACCACAACAAAACTAAAGGCCAACACAACTCTCTGCTCCCTGCTTTGATTTGTAGCTGTAACTCAGACCGGTTAGTTAGGTATCTATAACACTGCAAGGCAATGACACATTTGCACTGTGTATGTGAATATATTTTGTACCATTTATTTTATTACTTTAAGAACTTTAAACATATAAACTTTTCACATGAGGATAAAATTTAATACAGAGGATCCTAGCAAGCAGGGACTTTCTAAGTCAGTATTCTATGTCACCAGTCTTAAAATAACTTGTTAGTTGATATTCTCTAACATTTTCCGTGTATATCAGTGCCTGTAGGTGGTGCAATGATCTCACACACAGCCCTTTTACAGCAAGGGTCTGGGTTTGAATCCTGCACAGGCAACGGAATCTCTGGACATTTACAATAAATTTGTAACATTGGTGCAAAGTGCTTTCACTTCACAGATATCGCATCTACAGCATCTCCAGTTCTAAGTACGCCCTGAATTCAGACATAGGACACAACCTCAGTCCAGGGTAAAAGAAAAGTTCTCTTTTGGAGAATTCTTTTTTTTACTTCTGTTCACGCAATGGCACGCCAGAAAGGAAGGTAACACAGATTTTAAAAACAGTTGGAAATATGAATATAAGATGACATCCATTGCTATTATAGAAAAAAAATACACAAATTGCTGGAGAAACTCAGTAGCCTGGCAACATTGTGGCGAGGGAAACAGAATTAATGTTTTAGGTCTAGAGACAACAAGGTGCAGGGCTGGATGAACACAGCAGGCCAAGCAGCATCATAGGAGCAGAGAGGCTGACGTTTCGGGCCTAGACCCTTCATCAGAAAAGGGTCTAGGCCCGAAACGT